CATGGGCTGCCAGTGGCTGCAGTGAGAAGGGCCCAGCAGCAGTGAAGGGACAAGGGCTCTTTTCCCCCATGCCGAGCAACAGCTTCTGCCTGTCCACTGCCACTGCTCAGCATGGGCAGGCAGTCCAGGGCAGGAGCTGTTCATGTAGCTTGCTGATCCACTCCAGCCAGGGCGTCCAGAGTGGATGCAGGGCCAGGGCTGTGCACTGTTGGCGGTGAAGAGCTGCAGGGCACACAGGCTCCAAGCTGTTGTGGGGTGGGGGAGACACTGACTAGCTCACAGCAGATCCCCAGAACCACCTATGTGGCCCATGGGCCTAAATAATTGCCCGCCCCTGGTTTATACTCATCCATGACAGTCATGTGACCTATCCCACCAAGTCTCTGTTATTCCAATCACCTCACAGTTCTGTGACTGTGCAAGAACTTCCAATTCTTCCTACTAATTTTCCAGACTCTGCATTTGGGTAGAGGCACCTGAGGTAACTAGCCGATTGTCCTGATTTCTCAGAAAGAACGAGAACACCTTCCCTGTTGTCCACTTCTGCTTGTGGTTCTTCCAGGTCACCCACTTCACCACTTTTCTCAGGACTTTGGTGTCTATCCCCCAGTAAACTTAGTTTAAAGCCTTCCTCACTAGATTAGCAAGCCTGTCTGCGAAGATGCTCTTCCCATTCTTCGTCAGGTGAATCCCAACTCTTCCTGGCAACCCTTCTTCTTGGAACATCATCTTGTTGTCAAATAAGCTAAAGTCCTGCTGGCGACATCACCTGCACAGCTATGCATTGATCTGTAGGATGTGCCCACTCATCTGGGCCCTTTCCCTTGACCCAGAAGCATTGAGAATACCATCTAAGACCCATTCCCCACTTCACCCCTGCACACAGAGCTCCGTAGTCACTTTTGGTCTGCTCAGGGCTCCCCTGCCAGTATCACTGGTTCCCACATGGATGAACAGTGTGGGGTAGTAGTCAGAGGGCCAGATGACTCTCAGTAATCCCTCCGTGACATCTCAGATCTAGGACTTAAGCAAGAAGCGGACCTCCCGAGACAACAGGTCAGGCCAGTAGATGGATGCCTCTGTCCCTCGCAGAAGGAAGTCTCCAACCACCCCTGCCCATCACTTCTTCTTGGTGTTGGTTGTCTTGATCATTCCCAATTTGGGAAGGCCTGGCCTGTACTCCTCCACCAATGGAACACGCTCCTCCCCATCTGTTGCTAGGGCTCCATATCTGTTATCCAAGGAAACTGCTGCAGATAGAGATGAAGACTTCTGCTTCCTACCAGAGATCACAGGGTTCCAACTTCTACCTTCCTCAGAGTCCATCTCCTCTCCCTTCTCTAGTGTTGCCTTTGGCAGGTTCTTCCTCCAGTTCTGGAGGTCTCCTCCAGCACTGAATCAATGAACACCTCATGGTGAAGGATGTTTCAGAGCCTCATCACCTCTTCCTCTAGCTCTCTTGTCTGCCTCCGCTCTCCCACTGCCCTTCTCCCAAGCATACCATCCCTAGTAAACCTGCTTGTAAGCTGGCCTGTTTACTGTACCTTTGTTCCAAAACAGAAACCTTCGCCCTGGCCGGTAACTTCTTTAATACCCAGTTCTTAAACACTTTTTACAAGAGGTGCACCGATACATTGGTCCCATATTGGATCGGCACTGATATAAGGAAAATTGTTATCAGCAATTGGCTTTTTTTGGCTGATATGGCCCCCATGGATGCGCGCAGCTGCAGTGCAGCATGCAGGCAGCCAGAGGCGTAGCTCAGCAGCATGGAGAGCAGTGAGGTTTGGCTGGTAACTCTGCTGTCAGGGAAGGTTTGTGGGGGAGGGGGCGGGGGCAGATCAAGGCCCCAGCACTGAGAGAGAGAGTGGGGCAAGGGCAGGGGGAGGGTGCATGATGAAGCTGCAGCGCATCTGGGGGATGCAGGGAAGGGGTGTGGCTCCTGCTGCTGCATACACCCTGGGAGGGCATGGGGGGCCTGTGCCCCCCAGATCCACATGCAGGGCAAGGGCAGACTGCTGCTGTGCCAGGCTCTTCCCGGCGGGGGGAGGGGGGGGAGTTGGGCTGGGGCTGCACTCTGGGCCACTGGCGGCAGTGCTGGGAGGGGGGGCCCTACGGCAAATTCTGGAGTGGCTGCAGCCCCCCCACCCCCGGATCCCCTTCCCAGCAGCACCACTGCCTGCCCAGAGCGCAGTCCGGACCAGCCCCCACTCCCTGCCGAGAAGAGCCTGACCCCTCCCCAGCCCCAGCCCACTCTCATCCCACATGCAGTTTGGAGGGAAAAGCCCCCCAATGCCCAACCAGGGTGCATGCAGAGGCAGGAGCGGTCCCCTGGACAAGGCGCTTGCGGCTCCATCCCACACTCTGCCCCGGCTGTGTAGCGCCTGCACCTGCTCCAGATCCACTCTCTTCCTCACCACAGGGGCATCAATCTGCCCCCTCCACACCCATTCCCTCCCCACTTGCCCTTTCCCCAAGACTTACCAGCCAGATGATGCTCTCCACACTGCCTGGCTGCATATCGGCAATCGGATCGTATCAGCCGATATAGCACGTTAAAAATCGGCCATCAATATTGGCCCCAAAAAATCTCTATCAGTGCATCCCTTTTTACATTATTTTAGTGGGACAGATTACAACCCCAGCATATCTCTACCCAACATAACAGGTAGGACATAGGCAACAGCAAGATAAATTTCCCATGGAGAGTAACCGTTAATGATGGGAAGGGAATCTCAGGATCTCTGGTTAGTTCAGTCCTTCACATCTCTACCCAGACTGCTATCTAATTTGGGGGGGGGGGTTGGTTGTGCAACTGATGGACAGAGTGCCAGACTGATATTAGAGAGACCTGTGTTGTATTCCCAGCTCTGAATCAGACTTGCACATGACCTTAACCAACTCATTTAACTTCTTGGGCTTCAATTTAATTTTCCTATCTGCAAAATGGGGGCAGTAACGCTTGCTTTTGGAAATAGCCTTGAAATTCACAGATGAAATGTGCTACGTATAAGCTTGATTATAATATTATGACCAGAGATCCTGGTTCTCCGATAAAAAAAAAACCAACAATTTCCCCAAATCCACATTTTTCTGTGATTAAAATGAAACACCACTGAAATATATATATTAGTGGCATTTCATTTTAATCACAGAAAAATGTGGATTTTTGGTTACTTACTTTATTCCGAAAATTGGGGATTTTTTTTTTTTAATCAGAGAAAACCAGGATCCCTGATCATGACTTGGGCTAGTGGCTTTCATTGTGACCTAGCCACAGTCTGTCCTAGTACTAGACCACCACTAAACTCAGGCCATGGAACAGCTGTCAGTTGGTAATGACTTTCAGGCTGTGAGACCTAGGCTATATCGAACATGACAAGGCAAAGATGAAGAGCAATGCAGCCTGTTACTAAACTCCTGAGCCAGTCAGCTGGCTGGTTTGCAAATGAGGAAATGATGATGCAACAGAGTTGCTTAGTTTAGGTTCCAGGACATCATAAACAGTCAAGTCCATCTTCCTCAGGGACAAACTGAGGAAGCCTCCACAGTACCTGGTAAACAAAGCAGATGGTAGGGGCCTGGCAGCCATAGAGAAACTTGACATCGATGACCTGCAGCTCCTCCAGACGGATGTTAAAGGCTTTTAACTCCTTGTTGTCACGATCCAGAGGGATGACTTTGAAAAGGCCATCATAGAGTCGCAGTCCAATCATCCGGCACTCTGGGTCAATGATGCCAATTATACCCGTTTCAGAGGGACGACCAATACGATCCTAGAAAAGAAAGACCAGCATCAGGGAGCGCAGGCCAGAAGCAAGAAGAAACTCAGTGAGCAAAAGGGGTGAAGTGGGTGTCCACAGTACAGATGGATTCCCCATAAGTCCCTTAATAAGTTTCTGCATATTATCCTGCAAGTGAATAGTGACTTGGACATCACCAGAGCTCTGGGTTTTCCGTTCGCCATGGAAAAACAAGGTAAAACATGGATTTTTTTTTTAAAGGAGAAAAACATGGGAAACAGTGTGTTTCCCCTTGCAGGCTGGCAGAGTTCCAGCCTGCAAGGGGCTGGAAGGGAGTGGAAGGAAGGCGATCTCAGGCAGGGGGTGCCACGTGCATGAGCACATGCGCATGGCAACCACACAGCATGGAAAGCAGCTCTTGCAGCTCCCTGCAGGTAAGCTGCGGGGGGGGTGAGTGAGGGAGCTGGGTAAGGCCAGGGCTCGGAATGCTGCCCAGCTGTGGTGGCACATGGGGCTTGGGGCCCAGGGCCAGGGTGGGAATACATGGCCACAGGGCCCAGGTGGGAGGCAGGACAGAGCCATAGAAGGCTTGTCTGATGGGAGGGGGAGGGGAGAAGAGGGAAGGTGGTTCGCTGGCTCCCTGCCACTGCATATACTCCCAGGGGAACAGAGCCCCTTTGCCTGCTCTAAAGCAGAGCACCTTAATCTAGTACCTGACTTAACAAGGGTTCATTTTTTGTGTGATCAGACATTTTAAAAGCACCCTGAAGCTGAGTGGCTGGAGTCCACACACCCACCCACCATGGACTCCATCCCAGCCACGCAGCCCATGAAGGAGGTAGAACTGAGCTCCACGCTCTGCTCTGGCCACAGCAGCTGCTGCCATGGGCAGGGCCAAAGGGCTGTTAGTATGGACTGAAAGGGGCATGGCTTAGCCAGGGGGAGGGGCAGCGCACGGCCTGGTCCCAAGGAGGGGAAGGGAGTACACACCAGCTCCACCTGGCTGCACAAGTCTTGGGGTTTGGGAAATTGGGTGGGAAAAGGGAGGCCAGATTAATGGGCACTGCTCCCCAGCCACCAAATTCCTGAGCGGTAAAGAGCCTTGCAGGGCTGATGCGATGGCTCTGTGGGCCAGAGGTTAAGCCCCCCTTTCCTAAATTATTAAAGAAAGCAGCACCAGCTGCACGGAGACTCCTGCCAAAAGCAGTAGGAGCCCACCCAAGTTAGCAGCGGGACCGGATTCTTGCACTATGAGCTCCCGAACCCCCAGGCAACGAGGAACCCAGGTGTGAGCCTAGATCCACGTGCTGGTGCAGGGTAAGGAAGTGCCCTGCTAGCACTCAGTGCAAGTGTGGGGAAACAGAAACTGACTGCAACTGGCCCTGCCGCGCAGGAAGCCAAACCAAAGCACCAGCGGCAGCAGCATCTGTCCAGGGAGCCACTGACCTGCACATCGCCGTGGGCGTGGGTGATGATGTCCATGCTGTCCCCACTCTGCTTGTACTCCAGGATGCAGGCATTGTACTTGGCTGTCAGGATGAACAGCAGGTCCTTGGTCTCCCCCTGCCCACACAGGAAAGTGAAAGAGTCAGGGTACAGCTTCATGTGTGGTGGGGACAGTGGATAAAAATCAATGATTTCTTAAGATCAAATTTTCTTTTTAGTTAAATCAGATTTTTTAATTCAATTGTATTTTCTGATTTTTTTGAAGATGCGTTAAAAAAAAATCTATATAAAGGTAGCTTTAAACTTAAGATACATTAAAGCTCAAGGATATCATCAAGAAATAGGAATTATAACTTCTAATTACATACTATTTGAGACAATACCTTCATGTAACCTTTCTAGAAAAATTTTATAAATAGGTCACAACAGGTCATGGACTATATTAGGGGCCCAATCTTAGATCTATAGATTAGTAACGATGAAAGAAAGCAACTATATCAAATGGGACTCAGTGCTCAGTCTACAACAGCGTTTCCCAACCTGTGGGTCATGACCCAAAAGTGGGTTGCAAGAATAAATGAAAGGGTTGTCAACAAACTTTAAAAATGGATTTTCCTTTAAAGAGGAAAAACATTGAAAAACAGGACTTTTCCCTTGCAGGCTGGCAGTTTCCACCTGCGAGGGGCTGCTTGGGCCCCCTGCTGCCCCACACACTGGGAAGCTGGGACCTGGGGGCACTGAGTCAGGACTGGCCATTGATGTTTACAAATGGGTCCTGGTACAAAAAAGGTGGTGAACCACTGCTCTAGATCAGCTTTTCCCAACCTTTTTCACCCCATGGCACACTGACACGGCCTCCTTCCCCTGCGGCACAGCGGCCGAGTTGGGTGGGGGGGAGCAAGTGGCCAAACACCACAAACCAGGGGAGGGTGGTGAGCGGCCAAACACCACATAGTGGGGGGAGGGGAAATTTTAAAAAAATCAGGTGGCAAGTGGCTGGACACCGCAGACCAGGAACAGGGACAGGAGGGTGGGCAGTGAGTGGAGGAACACCGCGGAGCTGCAGGAAGTGGGTGTCGCGGTGTTTGAATCGCCAGCTGGAGCCACGCTCTGTCTGTCTGCCTCCACAGTATGCGGAGGACATGGCTCCAGCCCCAAATGCCATAGCACACCTGGACGTGCCGGATGGCACACCGGTTGGGAAACGCTGCTCTAGAAGATCCCACGAAGCATCTCCGTGATGCTTATTTTCAGTTCGCAAACCGGATTTGTCTCCAGAGATAACCTTGTTCACAGCAGCATACGGAGATGAGAGACAACAGACCCGACTATTACCCACCCATCAGCCCTATTGTCCCTGGGCAGTTTGTGCAGGCAGAGCCAAGCCCATCCCTCTCCCTAAAGGTGCCAAGTTTCCAGATGTGCAACGAGCAGAGGCGATCAAACAGCAGG